GGGGGAGAGACCTTTATAAAGCTGATGATGCCTTGTGCCAAGCTGTGCGTTCAGAAACAAAGAGGCCTATTTGAGATGTTTGCATTTCGCAGATTGCCGCTTTGAGAGAAGCAGCAAAGAGAGCAGGCGATGATTCAGCAGCCTCAGACGTCTGTAATAGCCACTTCACATCTTTTGCTTCCGCCTTTTTCCCGACGCGGTGCAGATCTCTGTTTTCCAAAAATATCCAAGCGCTCAGATCGGGTTGCTACTTTTTTTTTTAAACCTTCAAAGAGACTTTCTGGATCTGTGTCTACATTCCATTACTTTGAACGATTTTTTCTTCACAGGGAGCTCTTAATCTACGGTTCTACGTAAAGCCTGTGATGTGAGCAGTGAGGCGTGGCGTACACTCTTATTCCAATTCTCATCATCCTCATCATCCTCATTTCAGATGACCCCACTAAAATGTAATCAGTGTTATAAGTTCAGGCTCGCTGTGAGGTGTCCTGCAGGGGATCAGCCAAATCTCACATTAGCTAAACAACAGGCAGGAGAAGAGGCCGGACGGGTCGGGGGGGACGCGGGGGGGGTGATTTAAGGCACTGCTGCCGCTGACAGGTCCCCTCCAGCTACGGCGTCTAAGCAGGTTTTAAGTCAACTTCTGAAATGTCATAGAGAGAGAGAGAGAGAGACAATGTGAGAAGCCTTCTGAAAACACAACACGCTGAAGCTGTATACAAATTGTAAAATCAGTCACTATTGTGCACAGCTTGCACCGCTGACATTTTAAAAGACGATTCCTGCGCGCTAATCATTCTGCTATGAGTCAAATGAAGTCAGACACGCAGCGTGAGCAGTCACTTAACGCGACGGCTGGATAATCAGTAACGCCGATCTCGCTGAGCATCCGTCAATCATTGACAAATGCAGGATGTGCTTCTATTGACTTGGTCAAAGGGTTGATTCCTCCGGTTCGCGTCTCCTTGAGCAAGGAACCGAACCCCAAGTGGCTCCCGGGCCTCACTGTTACTAAAACTGCTATGGACGGGTTGAATGGACAGTTTATAAAAAGGTGCACTTTAATAAAATTTCCATTTTAAATGGAGGGAATATTGTCGATATTTGGTTACTAAATCAGAGGGCTCGGCGGAGATCTTTGGGAGCTAAAGTAGGAGCAAGAGGGCCCCCTCTTTCTATCTCCATTGCTCGGTATGCGAGTACAACAACCAAACGTATGCCACGACGGCTGCATTTCCACACATTTGCACGAGAGGCAATAACTGACAATTTGCTGAAAAGTGTAAGAGAAAAAAAAGGGCCACCTCCGTGGGTGCCGCAACTAATTTACATCACAGTTTACTTCACACTCTAAATTCGTGTCGGGTTCGGGGAGGAATTCTTTTCACAGGTTCTAGTAATACCTGCAAAATCAGTACTGGCTTGACGCCAGAGTACAGCTTCACACCGCAAGCTCCGACGATCTGAACCCCAGAGGGGGGGGTGGGGGGGGGGGCATATTTTAAACACCATAATGCATCTTGTCGCAATAAGGAAATCCTTTCGGAATCTTCGACGAAACCCCTGCAGGAAGAACTCGGGTGCACCATAAAAAGACCCCCCACCGCCCCCCCGTCCGTTATGAAAGGCACTTGTGTGTGCCCGGTCTGTGTTAACACGGCCACCTCTGTTGAGTCACGATGCGCTGGAGCCGCAATCAAGGCCGGAGGTGGTCAAACGCGGTAGACCGCTTTGTGTATTTAAATGGTCAGCGGGTGGAGGAGGGTGACTGAGAGGGTGGACGCAGGATTTTATTGCCTGTGGTTATTTCACTTATTCAATTATCATTTCACTGTTTTGTCCCTTTGCCACGTACCAGAATGCCTTCGTTCACCAGAGGCAGCTCTGGAGGTCCAACTGGGAGAAAAATTACAGATCAAGTTCCCTGTTTTAACCCCAAGTGTTTTGTTTTGTTTAATTCTCTCATTCAAAGCAAGAGACACATTTTTAGATGACTGTATCATCTCTTAGACTGAAAAATGATCACATCCTTCTCTCGGATGTTTGGTTTTTCACTCATCTCAGTGGCCAATCGGGAATGTCCCTTTTAACCACACTGCCATATTGGCTCATATCTATTATATAAGGCCATGGATGAGGAGATGAATTGATAATAACAGCGTTACATCATCGATGTCTGTCGTTCTTTTAACCCTAACCTTGAACTTTTTCTCTTTTCTTCTTGCGGATCTCTGAAAATACATCGTTTGACCTTTACTTTGCTGCTGCGCTTCAAGGACTCAAGCTAGTGCGGCCACAGGGGAGGGTGATAAAGATGGAAAGGAAAGCTATGGCAAAGGCTCGGGAGAGATGCGATGATAATAAGATGCGTCATTCCTAAACTCTGGATCAAATCCGGCTCCTTCCTCACTCGCGCTATAGCTGTCAGTGGCCTCCGCACAGCAGCCGGCCTCGCAGCTGTCCACAGGCCGGCGTTACATAACAAGGCTGCATCACAAACCCCCCTCGAGCCACTTTGCAGCCTCTCCACCATGACACTGTCACCCCGCTGAGGAACTGGCACGAGGACAAAGTCGCATGCCAACGCTTCAGGGACGGACGCACAAGCTCTCCGCTAAGATTCTCTTGTTGAGGGTCAGATTGATGAGGTAATGCAGGGCGGTAATTGCTCATTTGCTTCCTAATTCCAATTGGCTTGTGGCCCCTTCACCCTTTAAACCTCCACTCACACACGCAGAAAAATGCTGCCCAAGTGTGGGCGGCTGTGCTGAAGCTATACATGCAGCCCTGGCTGACCCACATTTCACGACCATGCTCTGCTCGAACAGATGATTTCATGCCTGAAATGTGCAACGCATCTTTTTTTGGACGTGCCTGTCAAACCCCGCCAACGTGAGATGGACGTGAACAATTCCAGACATATTTAAGCTCTGTGACGGACATGTTACTCTTTTAATATATGCACGGGGAGTGCTCCAAGTTCTTCTACAAGACAATAGCAACTGAAACAACGGTTGAGTCGAGTCGAGAAGAAGTTGAGACTGGTGATGTGCAAACTGTACTTAAAAAAACCTCTAGAAATTCTACCATGAAGCAGTAGTTTGATTCTTCTTTGATATCTGAGGAAGGGTTCAAACCAAGCCTGCACGGAACTGTCCTAAAGGTTGCATTCTCTCGATTGGCCAGCAGGGGGCGACTCCACCGGTCTCAAAAAAGAGAAAACGACTACTTCTCTGTTATTTTATTACCTCAGAGAACATTGTAAACATGACTTTACTGTGTCTTCATTTAGTGAATTGCAGTCCAGTTCAACTCGTAGCCACTCCTTCCAATTACACGTGGGAACTTCTGTTACAACATGGGGACGCCTGTAATCCAAGAGGGCCACAGGGAAATCGTCTTCTTGACTACAAATCAAACCAACGGGTGACGGCACGACGTCCACCCCTTAGACGCAGTCCATGGTTTGTGCTGCGATAAGCGGGGCTGAAACACAACAGAAGGGAATTCCACCAGCTGTGCACAATTCGACACCCTAGAATTCCACCTTTCGCCTAAGAAGAAGAGCCCTGAACAAACAAGAGCACTTCCCTGAGAGAATGCTTCGGATCGCTGTGGTCATTCAATCCATCCAGAGTCACACTCGAATGACAAGAGTCCACCGACATTTTGTGCCACTGGAGAGCCTCGAATACCTTCCTGAATTCCCAAAACGCACCACACGCACTCTTTTCTTCCCAGGCCAAGTGACATCACGGTTCTTTTATGGAAAACTGCACGTCGTCACATAGTGTTTCGCCACCGATGAGCTCATTTGAACAGGTGTCCCGGGTTATTTTGGGAGGCCACATGTGAGAATTGGCTGCACTTCATCACACCGCGCTGACCTGTAGCTCCAGCAGGGTGGCTTTCTAACATCACACCCCATCTCCCCCATGTTTGGTCATGGTACCGATTGATGTGGAGGCAGGTGTGTGTGTGTGTGTGTGTGTGTGGTAGGGGGGGGGGAGCGTCCACGTACATCTTGTTTGTGCGAGAGTGTACAACGTCCAAGGGGAATCCAACGACGGGGGGCAACCAAGAACTAGCCGGTGTGTTCTGTGTCAGTTGCTAAGCAGACTGAGTCTGATACGACAGAATGCTGCTCTCCAGTGGGTTCCTCCCACGCAATACTTGCATCTCCACCAAGGACCCCGCGATGCACTGTGCGTTGGAAAAAAAAAAAAACAGCAACGCCGTCTTCGGCACCCAACGCTGGTTAGTGTCTTTTTTAAATCCTATGAGGAAACCTGCCTGTCAGTGTGTGGAAGGGCGGTTAATTAACCTCCACTCATGGGAGCACTTTGGGTCGGGGCCTCCATTTAAAATCCAACCATCCATTTCTGGGGGCGCTATATGCAGAGAGGTGGCCCACAAAATCAGGTTTAGAACTACGCAAACGCTCCAAAGCGAGCCAGATTCCTGTTCTCACATAAACCGGCTATTACTGAAACATCATTCCTACGATAACATTTCAAGACACCACAGCAGATTACTGGGAGTGTTGCCTTTAAGCGGCATGTTCTGTGGCGAAGTGTAGCAACAAGGTGACTGCAGCTGTTTAAAAACTAATGAGGCTCCTTTAGGTTGAGCTGACATTAAAGATGCAGCCGTGCACACGTGAACTCATCCATGATGGTGGTGGTGGCACACTTTGTGTGCCGGCGTGCCTCGGACCCGAAGCGCAACAACGAGCGTGTTGCATTTCTGCTTTTTTCCTCTGTGGCCGCGTACAGACTCATTGGGGGGAGGGGAAGGGGGTCCCTTTATCTTTCAATTGTCTCAAGCTAAACTTCACGTTTATTCTCGTGGCCACAGCTTCCCCGTAGACCCACCACACATTTGTGATTAACACTTGATTAAGGTTTTCGCGCGACGCCGCGGCAAAGCCACTTGGCAATATTGGCCGCGCGTCACCTCGACAATCGCCGAGGAGGAGAACCGCTTTCAAACCCACCGACCTTCATGATGCCACAAGGTGGGTTTCCAGCTCCCTGGCTCCTCTCGGCGGAGCGATCGCGGCAGCCGCTCCCGGTCCTCGGACTGCCGTCCTCCCGGTACCGTCCGTTGCTGTAAAGTATCTCGGCCGGGCCGCCCTGGGCAGAGGCCGACACCTCCAGGTACGCCCGGGTACCGGCGGGAGTCAGCGCGGCCGAGTCGCCGGGGATCCCCGCGGCGTTGGACGCGCCGCGGGCCGGCGGAGCGCCGACGGCGGGGTCCACGCAATGTCCCGAGAACACATCCGAAGCGTGTACCCCTGCCATGGTCCCCCTCTGTCTCTGTGTGTCTCTCTCTGCTTCTCTCAGTTACAGCGACGATCTCCCCTGCTCACCGTAACCACGGACCATTTTCTCCTCCCAGCACCCCGGCGGACTTGTTGACGTCCGGGGCGGTCGGTGTTCTTCTCCGGGGTCCCCGGTTGTGGTCAGACCGCATGAGCGTACCTCCTCCTCCTCCTCCTCCGATGAGCTCTCCGGCGGCGTGCGTGCTCTGGATCACCGCGGGCGGCAGCTCCTGCGGCGGGTTCGCCGCGTCCCGTCTACCGAAGCTGGCACTTCGGCGTCCTCGTGCCCGGGAACATGCTCCCCGCACACCACGTCCGCTCCTCTGTGGACTCCCCGCGGCGTGCGTCGCCTCGCGCCCTCCTCACTTTTGCAGAGCTTGCGTGCATGCGGGAGCGCTGCTCCCCCCCTCTCCCTCCCCTCTCCTACCCGTCTCCTCTCGCACGCACGCTCGCTCGCATCCGCGGGACGAATTCAAGAGTGCGAGAGCGCAATCGCAAATGTGCGCGCGCGCGTACCTGCTCCGCCGCGGCGCACAGGTTGCATTGAACGAGTTCATTGGTTGTGAAATGTACGGCCAGGACTTTAGATTCTATAGTTTCATTTGACAAAATCATTGTATTTGATGTGAAGAGCTCGTAACTTGCTAAGTGGCTCCCTATTATCCGTCACAGGCTCTCCGGTAGAGGGCGCTATGGAGCCTCACTGTTAAACTACGAGCGGAACTTGATTCTGTAATTCATTTTTATGAAAATGTAATTTCACACAGTTTTTCAGGTTTTCAAAGCATTTCAGAGCTGCACCCCTCTCAAACGGAGCAGACTTACCGAAAAGGAAACACACCAACATGGATTTGCAATATTGTTAAAAAGATTTTCATTTTTTAGTTTGAAGGTATGTCAATTGATTCACCATTCATTTCAGTCTAAACACCAACAACCCATCATGAAAGTTTTGAAGGACGTCGTTTAGGTAGTCCAGAGACAACTGTTGTGTCAATAAACAACAAATATTGTCCCTCTTTTCCAACAGCAGCTATGAGCATAAGTTGTTGTAAGAGTCAGCTGTTCACTCCAACAATCAGGTCCGTAATTTCAGGTTTGCAACTGGCTGTGCTGCAGCTCTGCATCCAGACGGTACTGGCTGAGCCAATCGAGGAGAGTAAGTGCTGCTTCCATGTTTGTCCCGCTTGTAGAGAATTCGGTGAACTTTCCGAAAACCCTGTTTGTTTGTGGTCACCGCAGTCAGGCTCCAAGCTGAGTGCCTTTCTCTCCCTCGTGAGCAAGTTGTCCTTTCTCTTACATGTGTAAATAATGCGCCTGAGAGCCTGCGTGTTCTGTCCTCTCTCCTGGGTCTCCCCGGTGAGGGGGGGGAGGAGAGGGGTGTCAGGTCTATCTGTGTGAAAGCCATCTGGATGTTGCTCGATGTCCTACGATCCGTCCAATTTCAATCGTCCATCAATCAATTATGTCGTCCAGATTGTTTTGGAGGTCTGTTCCGTACACAACAAATCTTTTACATGTCTGTCAGTCCAGAGACAGGGATTCCTCTTCTGTTCTCATCTGAGGGTCCGAGGACAAAGGGTGTCCTGCGCTGTGGCAGGCTGTGATTTGTGGTACTTGTCCATGTAAATGAAATGGACACAAAAGGTGTCCTTGTTTCAGAGGGAAATGTGCTTCTCAATTCAACTGCTGCTGCGTGCTTCAATGATGGGAATCCTGCTCCCAAACGCCTCAAACACTCCCTCTCTTCTCCCTATGACTCAATTAGAAGACAAACGAGTGGAGACTGTAAACGTGATTCACAGTCGCAGTCAGCGTAGAGTTGCGCAACATCATCGTGCACAGTCTGACCTTGCAACACCATGATTATCACAAACCTCTGATGCTAGGGCGAAATAAACTACAACATCGGACGAGACTTGGGCAGTAAGCTGGCATAATGCAACTCCATTTTTCAACCCACCGAGGAAGTCAAAGTGAATTTGTATCTAAGAAGTGATGTGCAGCAGAGAACGGCCGAGCTAATCTCAGCCAAAGCTAAGACGCTACATCATTGACAGACTTGATTCTGTTGTAAGTTCTTAAACCGCAACGGCCACATGACTCACATCAGATAACTGCACACGGTTTGCAGTCAGAGGAAGTTAAGGATTGTATTCAAGTGTGTTGCTCCATGGATGTTTTCACAGACCTCGGTTAGCGACGAGTGGTATAATGCGCAGCCAAAACACCGCCTCGCTAATCACACTCAGCTTCACCATTACGAGCGACTGAGAGGAATACGAGCGCCGTTGGAGCCCAGCTACGTCTCAAGGACGGACAGGACAGAGGCGGGGGGAGACAACATGTGGACATACAACGGGACAGAAGGAAGGAAGGAAAAGGGGGGTTGGAGGTAGACTGGAGGTAAACTCGCCGGTAGACTGAAGTGGCAAATGTTTGGGAAGACGGCTACTGGAGGGATCTCTCGCCTCCTTCCTTTCCTCACTCGCTTTCAACCCCTTTCCCTGGTGATCTCTCAGGCTCATGTATTATGCATACTCAGGAATGATTTAAGAAAAATTCTGCTTTTAAAAGCCTCTCCGCCAGGCCCAGCCGTCTCACTTTAATGTTAAAAAAGTGTGATGGCCGGTCTCCGAACTTAAACATCAGCTCCACGTGGAAGGGACCGCCCAGTAACCCACCCACTAATACTGCAAGTTCAGCGAAAACACCAGGGATCACGACCAGCGGAAGGAGCAAAACTTTGCTTTCGGTTCGTCCGTGGCTTAAAAGAAGACCCAAATTAAAACCGAAAAATGTGAGATCGTGTGACAGAGACAGAGTAGTAGACCGCATCGGCACTCTTGAAGCCTGAAATTACAATTTGCCGCTGCAAATAACGCCCTTGTTGTTTTCTATTGAGGTTGGCGTTAGTTTCCTGTGGCAGGATGTCAGCCACGTTCAAGTTCAGGCACCACTCCCTCCCGCTGCGGCAGCTGTTGGCTCAACGGACCTCTCCTGCTACACCCTCAGGCCTCCAATGGCCCCGTCCTCCACCCCCCCCGGGGCCCATCAACAGAGGCCGGGTCGCCTTATTGACGGCGGCCGGCTATTGATCAGCTCTCCTATAATCCCAGCTGACTACGGGGGCATGTGTGGGGGTCATCCTGTCAAATGTTCAGGATTTATTACCACATGGGATATTTTGCAGAAAGCCAAAAATGTCACCTCCTAAAGGCTTTATTTCACACGTACAGCATCAGTTATGGTTACGTTCTATCTGATAAGGAAGAAACTTAATTTCTGTTTTAGAGGTAAATAAATGGCTAAATGCTGAGAGCAGACACACTGCTGCAAAGCACTATTATTTTGCAAGCCATTAATTAGTGATTTCTGCACTGACACGCCGAAGACGAGCAGCTAAAAACTTTTCACATCAGAGAAAATTAATGAGCAGAAAAAGCAGAAGTGGCTAATGAATAGTTTTTCGGGGGAAAATAGGTAACAAAGGACACGTAAAAGGCAAGTCCCAGGACAGCCTTGGGAGCCTTCAGTATGCTCCAGTGGCCCATGCTGGACCACAGGCTCCCAAACCCTTTCACCTCAACTCCGAAACGGCCTGCAGGGAGCTCAGGAGGACCAGGCCTGCCCCCCCAAGGGTTCATGGTCCTGGTACTCCCACACGGGTCCATGCACATGGGGTCCAAACGGAACTAGTGTGGGTTTTCCCAAGCTCGCAGTACCCTCTGTAAATCCACAACCGCACACACGGTGGGCCCATATTTGCTCGGGCACTGGGGGGTTAATAATAAAACCGCTCAAACAAGGATCAATTTCTGGGACACATTTAGTGTGTTTGAATGAATGATGATCTCATCATGAGAGGAAGTTCTTGCTGCTCTCAGGAGGGAGCAGTGGGTGTGTTTTCCTGAGCGTTGCCACCGTACTTCCTGTTTGTGCCCAGTTGATCGTCAGCAAGAACCTTGCATGGATTCTTTCTCGCAAAGGCCGTTTCATGTAGTGTAGTTTTTCAAAACTTATTTTCTACATTTAAAGTTAATTGTTAAATGCTCACTAAAGATACGATGACATGATCCAAACAGAAGGGAATTCACACCTCCCCAGTCAGCATGTGCTCCCGTGGGCTTAGCTGACACCTGGTGGTGACCTTCGTACGCTAGAATGAAGAACTAGAAACATTTGTTTTGACAGATACCTACTGGAGGCCTCATGTTTTCAGCTCGTTAACCTGTTTGTCGTACTCAGCTGAAAACACCAGCGGGTCGGCGTTATTTCACAGGTTGGCGGAAGATTACAAAGGGTTCCATTCGACCAGAAATTAATAATTTACACTTCTATGAAACCAGTACCAGGGTTGAAATAAGCACTGTTGTTGTCTGGCAGTCATATCTATTTATTAAAACTAATACATATAATTAAATACAACACAGCCAGACGCAGAATGAATTTTGCTTTGTGCATAACTGAGCACATAATTAGTTCTCTTTGCACATGTATGGTCTATAATCATTAGCATCATTGGTTATTCCACTCTGCCTGCCTCAGTCATTGAGCAGCCTTTTTCTCGGCCTTCCATGTGACAACATGGTGTCTCCATCTGGTGGTATTTGTGGTACTTTACACTCCACATATTAATGTACAAATATGAGTGATATTTACTCTGAAAGTTTACCTGAAGAAACAACACCAACACTATTTTTGTAAATGTAAATTAAAATGACGTAAAATAGGTTTTCCTTTTATAAACTATTTACGCATGTTGGCCCTTCATTATAGTCTTCATATATTTAGGCGAAAACCATTTGCAGTCCCTTTTAGATCTAAATGACTATATTCACATGGCCGAAACAATATCCACTGGCACGAATAAGGCAGATTCACGTAACTTCCGGTTGATATAAATGGACACTGATAAATGCACACTATAAAGTAAATCATATTAAGACCCACCGCTGCAGGAAAAAACAAGCCTATTATCGCCGCAGGTGCAAGTCAGTGTGCTCATGCTATTCCTCCGTTTAAAAGCCTTTACCGTTGATGCAGGTTTAGTGTCCAAGGAACAAACCATCACTGACCTCTGGGAGCCCTTTGCTCCTGATTACGACGACTCACCTCAAGGGAGTGACGTAATGTTCTGTAGACTGTGTGTGAATAATTCAAAAAAAAAATCAGGAATGCATAACAAACCATGATAATTATTAGAAAAACATTCTCTTCAAGAAGTTGTGTCGCTTACTTAAGATAATAACCTGATAATGAAACCCATCGGTACAATAATTGGTCCTATTTTCTATTGTAATCTAGGATTATTCATTTTTGTCATCTCTCCCGAACATGACTCAAACACACGAACCTCAATCTACATTTGAAATATTGTTTGTGTTTCTTATATCCACCAGATGACAGAATTGAGCCAGTTCAGAACGTTTGTGATCATCTCAGAAATGCTGTGCGCAAAGAGTCGTTGGGGATTTTAATAAACTGTAATAATCAAACTGTGATAGGATCTCCATCTGGCTTCCTGTACTTACCTCTACCAAGTTGTGATTTTGGGCTGCCACGTAGAAATGGACAAAACATGTTTTTAATGTTTACATCGTTGACGTTGCCTCAAAAAAATATGCCAGACTATCCTTCCCTTTTACACATTTCTAACACCATGATGGCACAAACATTAGTTTTCAGCAGTTTATAGTTTATCGCGGGCCGAGTATTCGCATTCATGTGGCATATAGATTGAAAACAGATCTCCCTGCTTGACAAAAACCAGTGACTCCTTCAATGGGATGAAGGAATCCTCTGCAAAATGCATCGGTTTGTGAAGAATAAAAATCAGTCAAACCAATTTCGGGAGGCTTTTAAATGACACCTAAAAGAAATAACACCAACAATCTTGTTGACAGTGGCTTTCTTCATTCAAAGGACAGTTTAATCAACAGATCCTTTCGGCCTCGCCTGCAGAGATACTCATTTCACCACTGCAGGGTCTTAAAAATAAAACGGCGTATGGTGACTCTTTGCCAGCTGGACCCAAGTATGAGTTTCCATTCAAGGAGCTGATATAGTGTTGCACGATGTCCACAAAACAGACTCCGCACGTTCCTGTTAAATCCGCTGTGCTGGATGGGGATAAAATTGATGTTGTTGACTGCACGTATAACAAAATAGTAGCATTTATTTTGTAGTGACATAAAAATCTTAAAATGATGTAAAAACAAAATGCTGCTTTAAATTACATAATAGTTAAAATTATTTATAAAACTTTATTTTCTTATTTTCAACAGCTGTTTCTCTTGGAAAACCTCCAAGTGATGAACTCAAACCACAATCATGGTACGTACATCGAACACCACACAGCTCCATCTACATCATCCAGAAAAAAACAAAAAAACACCGGCGACAGTGAAACAAAGCTGATGAGAAAACGATACCGGTAATGACGGATTTATCACAAGACAGCTCGTCTAGCTTGGGATTTCTAAATTAGCAGAGGAACAAAAAAAAGGAAAAGATTGACGAGGAAATATCTTAAATATTAATGTCAGTCCAACAAAACACAATAAAAATTCTTCTTCTCCGTTTTCCAGTTGCTCCGCGTCCTTTTTCAACCGGTACTTCTGGTGGTACGAGACTTGACACTCCGACTGAGGAGGTATTTGTACAAATATTCTCCACTGAGTCATGCAAAGGGGGCTTACATTCAATAAGGGGAGTGCCAGAGAAACAATAATAAAATAGAATTATGATAGATAAAATAAATTCATATATTCTGTATACTTTGATCGTTTTCTATTTGGCTTGTACAGAAGCGAAGCAAAGCGATTCATTCCTGAGATGCAAGGCTGTCGACACATTTTCTATTCAGCATTGTGCATGTCTGTGTTAGAAGAAGGGCTATTAGTCTCAACCCTGTCCAGTCCACCAATGTATTTACCAACCAATATACGGCGTCCTTCTTTTTTTTTGTTGTGTAGCAACAAGGGTACGCACGTTGGAATCTAATCTCGACCTGAAATCTAAAGCCAGACAAAGGCGGTGACGCGGCACGCCATGCTCGAGCTCTGCTTGCGGCCCAGCAGCTGCTGCATGCATTCACAGCATACGTATCTACCCATCTACCGCAACGCCTTTGCGACTTCAGCTGGTGGTGCAGTAAGTGGACAGAGAGGCGGGAAAGTCACAAGGGACGCCAAATATTCAGGACACTTTGTGCGTCCGGACTTCATCGGACAAGCGTTTTTCGAGCAAAAAAACAAAACAAAAAAACAAACTAGCCGAAACAGTGTTAGCGTGTCGGGCAGCGGGGAGACAGTCTTCACATACGTTAACACAAAATCACATCAACAGACCCCATATAACAGTATCGACTGGTGTGAATAGTGGTGCAGAAACAAAAACTAGTAATGACGGCTGTCAGTAGAATAATGCGAGGTAGCATCGACGAGGGGAACCGAGGGACCTGAGAGCAGAAAGCAGGCAGCTTCGGGTAAATGCTTAGAATTTGCATTTCTGCTGGTGAACAAATCACAACTAGTAGGTTGTGCACTTAAGCGCGAGCACAGCGTGCTGATGCGTGTGCTGTCAGTTGCCGAGAGCAACAGGTGTCACTCCGCCTTTAGGTTAGTGTGCGTGGATTCATGAAACTGACTGCAGAGCGACGACCCCGATTATGTTAGCGAAAGCAAAACTCTTCATGAAAGATTCTTTTCCTTGTCAAACGGCGGCGGCACTCTCAAAATACAATTTACAATTCAGAAAATGTCAAAGTAGAAACACCCAACTGTTAAAATGATTTTTCTTTTGGATTTTTTCAAAAATCAAGAGGAAATGCATCCGCCATGTGAATGAACATCAACGTTCCTTCTCCTTTGCACTCTAATGTAAAACTGTACCTAGTCTGTTTTCCAAAACACTTATGGACGCAAATGAAAACAGCATAAGTCTCCAACGAGAAAAATAAAGAAATTACAACCATTATTAACATTTCACATTTCAGCTATCCGAAAAAAATAATGATAATGTCAATGCGGGCGGGGCGTTTTGGGAAGCAGGGTTTGTTTGGTGTTGTCACGAGGTTAAAGAGGTCAAGGGTCAGGACTGTTGGCCGCCCCACTGGCTCTCTACGGGCCGCCGGAGGAGCTCCTCTACGTGCCGCGCCACGTCCATGGTGTCGTCCAGGTCGAAGTCGCCCTCCGCGTCCAACATAGAGTCACTCCTGCCACAGGACACAGAGTGGAGCCAAACCACACTCAGACAAGCTGGCAGCACATCGAAAGAAACAAAAGAAAAAAAAAAGAAGAAAAAAAAAGACCCAGCAGGAGCAACAAGACACTCTTTATTCTATAGAAAAGGCACATGCACACTGGGACGGACCGGGCTCATATGTTTCAAAGGCTGTGTTGACTCACATAGGTGGGAATATGCCGTAGGTGTGAGGATGACTGACGGGGGCTGGGGAGGCGCCGTGATCCCATATAGGTTGGATTCCCACTCGCTGGGTCTGGAGTGGCTGTAGTAAACCTGTAGATACACACACACACACACACACACACACACACACACACACACACACACACACACACACACACACACACACACACACACACACACACACACACACACACACACACACACACACACACACACACGACAAAAATATAAGGCCCCCAAAACTCTTGTTCCCGCCATTGCCAAAAGAACCCACCCCCCAGGGGTGTTTCCCGGGCCCCCCCGACATCATTATGGCCCTTCTCTGAACCGACCGCGGTGACAGGCAGGGAGCGGGGCTCGCTAACTAACAAGCCTAACTCTAATGATGAGTGGGGGACTAGCTGGCTCAGGAACCGCGGCCGCCCTTAATTGGCGTCCTCCAACTGTAACAGCTGACTAATAGCCGATCTGAATTCAGGGTTCAATATTGCGTGATATACTCTAAATGTTGGCGTGGAGGGAGAAAAAAACAAAAAACGCTGGTGGGCGGATGGCAGGGAAGGAGAACGCGAGGAAAGGCAAACAGGAAGCTTGATACTTACTCGGGCACCACTTGTTTGATTTGCGGCTTCACGTAGCCGTCCACCGCTTTGGCTTTAAGACGAAGCGAGTACAGGGAGAGAGAGAAAGACAGGTCAGCGCGGTGGTCATGCAGCAGTCAATACATCCGTTCACTTTAAAGTAACAGCCGGCGGCTTACAGAGGGGCGGGGTGTAATATTTGGAGAAGACCTCATCCTTGGGCCGGTCGGGGTAGAGGAACAGGAGGTGATTGAGGTCGCTGATGCGGTCGGCCAGAGAGCGGATGGAGAAGTCTTTGGTCGTGTAGGGCATGAGGTTCCAAACCATCCTCTCACCTGGAGAAACACAGCGTCAGCAGTAACAGAAAGAACATTCAGTCTTTCTCTTTGACATTTTCATTTCAGTAATTTTACAGTATTTTTTTTTTTTAGCTTGCATAATAAAAAAAGAAAAAAGAAAAAAGCGTTGCAGCTCCAACTGTTTTTTTTATTGCACGTTAAACGTGCAATCAATGATTGGTTTCAGACATGCACTTGCAGGCAGCGTAAAATGATTCAACACACCATTTATACGTGACAGAAGAGTGAAAGCTCATCCTCTGAAAGCGCTTCTTTGATGGGCTGCAAGAAGGTCTGACCCAATAAGAGCCTGTCTGAAGGGTTAGTCCCGGGTTTATTCATCAATCTCAATAAACGGAAACCAACTGTGAGCTCAGCGCCAGGCTGCGCATCGCGAGGACGCCAGGGGGCCTGTTTCTCGCCGATCAAAGCGTTCAGTATTTGTTTGCAGCTACTTATTAGCTGGTTCATCTACACAGCTTAGCTGTGATTATTTGCCCCAGACCCAACATCAAACAGTAACAAACATTTACACGTCGTACCTGCTTTGTTAGGATTTTCTGCCACCCAGGCGATCGTGATTCCTCCGATCTCAGAGTCACTAAAGCGGAGGAGGAAAGTACCGTTGGGTTTGGACATCAGCATGTCCTGAGCCTGCTGCTTGTTCACAAAGCCCAGTATTGCTCTGGAAAAAGAGAGACAGAAAAAAAGACATTAATATTGTAAAGTGCATTCCCGCACCGTTCCTAGTTTATGGGGAGAGAGCGGATCCAGCTCCCGATGCAGCTGTGGAAAATCATAATTGTGAACTATTGCCAGAGTTGTAAAGACGATGTGGACAGAAAACAATTTACTTTAAATAAATTGTGCTTTTCAATTCTGCCACATGTTATGGCCACACATTGAAACTGACACAAACAACACATTTGCTTACCCGTCATTCCAGTGTGGTTTGAGATGTTTCTTTGTCAGCTCCATCACGCCATCGAACCACTGCCAGAAAGTGAAGTTCCTCCCTGGCAAGCTTTCCTGTGGGTAAAATGGGATTTTTTTAGAAGGGGGAAAAAAAAAGAGGTTTTACATATCAAACAGGGTATGTTCATCTTTTAAAATGGTTTCCACATTCCCTCATGTCCATAAATACAGAGAACAACGTGTCCGCGTCCCAGTTGTGTTTACCATCTAACCGCGTGCGGCCAGTTTTCGTAAATGTTGAGCGAGGAACGACAACAGCGGGTGATGCAGCCTGTGCACCACTCTGGAAACTGGATGTTCCTGTAATCTAATCAGTCTGATGGTGTGTGGCGAGTGCGAGTGCATTTTCTGCCGTGGCCGGCTCCGTTGAGCCAGAAAATGAGGCCCCCAGCCTTTCACTGTGTGGACAAACAGGCCCATTAAGATGAAGACCCCGGCCACCAATGAGGCGCGCTCTCTCTCTCTCAAGTTGACGACGGAATAGGGCTGCAGGAGCGTCGCAAATGGAGCATGAATCACTTCTGTGTATGAATAACTTAATGGCTCCATGGGGACGGCGCATGCCTCTGAAAACTGGCCCGTAGGCATTTCAGAAACGCAAAAAGGAAGAGAAAGCCCTTTCCGAGTAAACCCAAACATTCGATTAGAAACTGATAGCTAACTGGTTAGCCGCGAGGGAGGGACAGACTGCACAGCGCTGACCCTGTTGAACTGCGACCAGGTCATAGTCATGTTGCGGTAGTCGTCAGGGTTGTTGCTGGAGCTGCTGAAGGCCTTTTGAGCCAGGAAGACCAGGTTCTCCTCCGACAGGCCCCGGTTACTCTGCACCTCGGCCTTGTATTTCATGTTGATGGCATCACAGAGCTGAGGCCAAACCACCTTGTCCGGCACGAGGAAAGGCACCCGTCCCTGTAGAGGCAGCGGAGACAGCAGAGGACTTGCATGAGCTTAAAGGACACGAGGCACCAGCATGAAATCAGAGCACGTGAACAAAAGCAAAAGTAGTTGAGTGAGTTATATTGCGTTATTGTTTGCACAAGGATTACTTATTGTAGTTAATGGATCCCGATCAGCAGAAAATGCATTCATATCTATAGGAAAACCAGATGAAACGCCCATTAAGAGTCGCTGCATCATCTCCTTCCAAAGCTATTAACCGGAGCACCTTTAAAAACAGAATCTATATTGGCACTTTTTTTTTTGGTGAACTAATTGAAATCGAATCAAAACGTTTTCAGAATTATTCATTATTTTGCGTAATTTTGTGTTCAAAGGTATGCAGGCTTTATTGGAACCAGGACGAATAAAAAGGTACTTTTGATACGTAAAACATTTGAATATACATTTACTCACCGGCTCTGCAAAAGCGTTGTCCCACAACACAGTAGCCGTGGCGTTATTGTCTTGGCTACCATGAACTATCACCACCACAGGAAGCGATAACGTCTGTTCAAAGAAAGAAGGGAGAACAACAAATACTGCAAATCCATTACAAAATATTAAATGGCAATGAGTAGTATTGGTCGGGCTGATGTTGCACAATGCCAAGTATAATCTTTGCCTCCCGGCTATTATAATCTTTCCTTTGAACCGCTTCAGTCGGCGCCACCTTACCTTCACTTGAAAGACGAGCTCATTTCCTCCAACGCTAAACTGGGATTCGAACAGAATGGTGAACTTTTCTTCCGTGACAGATTCTGCTCCTCGCCTGTCCGATCGCTTGATCCTCTTCAAAGACTACGTGAAAGATGCAAGAATGAGAAATACCGGCCGACAATGCAAACATCACCTGTACGGCATCTGCATGCATAATCAACTTTGAGTCAGAATACAAGGTCATCCATGGATGTAGCGAGCGGCTCTACTGGAAGCTGCAGACTGATCCTGCAAGAGGCCTTTCTGAGTTTGTGCAGTACAAACTGCACTGCAGTCCTCACTGTGCACAGACACAAGCAGATATCTGTGGACGCTTGAATGCAGCTCAACGTCGTCGCTTCTCAATCGGTTTGAATGGTATTTTGATGCCCTAATTAATATAATCCAATTCCAAAATCGCTCTTAATGTTAATAAAGTGGAGCTATTCTTCCCAAATTAAATTCTACTATAAAGACATTTAAATATGTAAGCCACTTGTCCATTGCGCGGTACTCCACCACATTGTGATCTCACACACAGCTGACTTCACTCCTCTACAGACCCACATTTAGACATTCGACTCGGTGTAGTTATTTCACTTCAGACACGCTTACCATGTTCCTGAAGTGGGCGCTGAGAGTGCCAGTAGTCTGGTGGTACTCCATCACGCAGTTATTGTTGAGAATCTCTCCACTGCTATCACTAAAGGAGAGAGAGACAATACGAGGGTTCAGTCAGTAATCTTTAATGTCGACTCTTGCGCCCAGAATTATGTTCTTCCCAGAAGCGATTAAAACTAAATGATGGCCGTTTGGACGGCGGGAGTCAGACACATGCAGGGTGGAGGAATGATGTTCACACTCATATAATTGCACGGTTTAACTGCCTCTATATTTTCTACATGAGAAAGCGCCAAGCGGATGTCTCAGGGCTGCAGATCGCGTGGAGGCCCAGCAGAAGCTGCCTGAGCGGTTGAATCGCCCACGCGTACAACCACTGGCTGACCTACGGGGTTTCTGTTTGTCGGGAGGAATGTGGAACAGGCTAAATGTAGATTCTCCATCCACACCACAGATTCCTCTGTTGGCATTGTTCGCGTTCCAGCCACGTGAGGTATGGAAACACATTAGGACAGAGTTCATCCTGGGGTCCAATAATCCCTTTAGAAAACTCCTTGTCTCATCGGTCCCCCTACACGACGCAGGAATACTGAAACACGTGGGAACGTCACGTGTTGCTGCTTTGGTGTGAAAAGTTGATGAATTTATTCATTTCAAATGTATAGCTTAAAGTAGCAGGGTGTACGATTAAGGCAGACCTGCTAAATAACTATGCGCTTTCTTTAGATTAGAATGAGCCTGCCATGTTTCTACAGGAGCTCCAAACCGACACAGCAAACTGCCTCCACAGAGCCCTCGGCCAGTTTTTCTTATTTGAAGTCCAGCGCAGTTTTTCCGACGCTCTTGGAAAGCGCGAGGCGAGTGGAGGTGTGATTCAGCCGAATGAGTTAAATGAGTGAAAGCCGCTTACACACAGCCACTTCAGATCCGAAGCTCCAGTAATTGCATCATTATTTCTACGGTTTTTCAGTTTTTAAATGAACTTACTTCCTTGTGTTCTCGTTCTTCAGCAGGGCCTTGGCCTGCTGCTCACTAATGATGGTGGCCTTCACCTGCGGCGGGTTCATGTGCACGTTCAATTTCCCACCCACCAGGAGGCGCACTGTAGCGGCGAACTTGGTTTGGGTTTTTAGCACCTGTGGGGGCTGTTTCTCGATAATGAAGGTGCTGCAGAGACAAAACAGGGAGTCAGACCTAATGAAAATAGGGCAATATGTCCCATTTTCTTTGTTGAACGTGCTATGTAATATGTAAAAATACTACAAACAACACAGAAGGTAAACAATGGCTGTTTAAAACATTCAAATAAACTTTTAGTACACATACGATGTATTTGGTTATACAATTTTGAAAGCAAATAAAGGTTTGTATACTAAAAGTCTGCAAATCTCTTCTCATCTCTACTGACCTGCAGATTTGATAACAGTAGCCTTTGGAAATAACCATAGAGCACTAATGGAAGTATTGTGAAGCTAACAGAGGTAAGGAATGATTTTCTGTCTGGCCAGCTTCTGGCTGATAAATGATTAAAAAAAATAAAATAAGTTTGTTCGGCTGCAATGAAGGAAGATTTATGGGGCTCCCACTTCCGAGACCATACCCATCAATTGGCACGGCGCCGAACAATCCCCTTTAATCCTGACGCGTCAACATTTCCTCTTCCGAGAGTAAAAGACAATACAAACAAACACTCACTATTAAGTTTTGTGGTGAAGTCATGACCAAGACCGGAGTGTATCGAGAATGATCAGGCCTAGTGAAGCTTTACTGCTGCAGCATGGTCGTTACGGAGACCCATCGTCACGCTCCGGTTCCCCTTGTTGCGTAACACTGCGTGACTTGCTTTGCAGGTAACGGTGATGCATCGGAGCACATTCACCCCCAGCTACACGCGCGCTGGGCCTCATATGATCAGCCCAAACAACCACAACACACCTGGTGACCAATGCTGAGATGATATCTGTGATCGTACTGCTGAGCTCGTTGAGCAGCTCTTCAATGGGTCCGGGGATCGGCAGCTGTTGCCGGAGGTGTTCTGCCCTCCGAATCTGCTGCCTGTTTTGCCAGATAGTTTCAGCTAGCTTTTCACACCTGACACACACACAGACACACGCACACATAAAGAAAGAATTTATGCCTGTAGTGCAGAATACAGCACTGCAGCCCAACATTATCCATTAAAACTGAAACAGGATAGTTCAACAACGAAAACAAAAAACTCAAATTAAACACAAGCTGTCTGAAAAACGAGTGACGAACAGCAATTCTGAAGAAACGAGACCGGTCACATGGTCTGCTATTTATATATATATATTTTTTATTACCAGCCAATAAACCCAGCGGTAGTCAATTTAAAGGTCGTAAACCTGTGACCCTTTGCTTTCAGAGGAAGCCTAGCGGCTGTGATACTGGTGGGAGGTGGAGGCCGGCTCACCAGGACTGCAGGATGTCCAGGCCTCCCTCCGGCGGGCCCCCGTTGCCTGCCAGCTGCTGCCGTCTCTTCCACTGGATCAGCTCATCATCCAGAATGATGGTCTGCTGCTTCCTCAACAGCTGCAGTGTTTTCTGGTGCTTCTCCGCCAAGTCCTGCGCACGAACGGGAAAGAGGAGGCGTGACTCGGGGCAACGCGCGAGCACGCGGTTTCCTTTCAGTGGGCACACATTCCCGCCTCACCAGTCTGTACTTCTGTAGTGTGTTGGCCTCTCTGGTCAGCCAAGCCTCCACGGTGGCTCTCTTGTTGAGAAGGGCGGGCTCCCGGAGCTGTCGGTCAGCAATGGGCAGTGTGGCCAGGCTGCTCAGCTGAGCTGAAGGTGAGCCGGGGTTGTTGCCGTCCAAAGGGGTGGTGGGAGGGGGGGGGGGGAGAAGAGGAGGAGTGGGGGCGAGAGGGGAGGTGAAAATCTTTAACGTGCATTTATAGTGTCCATACATGCACAGCCCGGGAGGGGTAATGATTTACTCAGGAGAACCACCTCTAGCGTACCACAGACATTCATAGACAGTCATAGCAGCGAGGTGTTGTTTTGTGAATGTTGCAACGTTAAAAGCAAAGGTTGATGATTATGGAAGCTCTGGGCGCTTGTTTCCCAGCCCTGATCGACGAGCTGCAGCAGGGGTCACACTGCTGTGAAATTTATGTGCGAGGGGGAGTCTTTTTTTTTTTTAACTCAAAGCAGCACTGCAACTTTACGATCAGAGTTCACAAAATGTCACTCTGACATTCACAAAACTGTTCATTCCCTCCTCACAGTCTAGTCAGGCTGAACTAGACCGCAGCAGTGGCGCGCAGGCTCTCCGGTCTCACCCTGGATGCGGAGGCTCTCCTGGTACTGGATGATGAAGTACTCCTGGTTGTGCTGGAGCTTGCGCAGATCGTTTTCCGTGTCCTGGGTCAGCAGGCGTAGCTCCTCGAAGGCTTGGTTGATCTGTTGGTATTTCTGAGACATGCTGTCCATCATCCCGCCCACCGGAGAGCTCGACTGTCAATAACAAAGTGGGATTGAGAGACGGGCACGGAAAGCGGGAAGGAGCTGTAGGCTTGCGTATTGTCGGTCATCGGGGTTGTTTTACAATAGCTGGTTTGTTGATGAGCTGACAGACTCAGGCGCGGAATTATGAAACCAACCCGGACTTGCATGGAAGAACGCGGCCGGCCGTAAAGGTGCAAAATAGAGGGGAAGGAAATGTTCAATCTATTCAGTCCGACTGCATCAGCGAGAGCTGTGCAGTGCCAAAAAGGTCAAGATTAAAGACGGTGAAATTCAATCAGTCCAAATATGCATTCCACTAATAGAAAAGGGCATGTTGAGAATGGAAATCAATTCGCCGCGGGAGTTGCTGAGAGTCACATGTTTTACGCTCTGCTGGCTTTACGGTTTTACAACTCACTGCTTTGTGAAATATTTGAGGTCACTTTTCACTTGCAGTGCTGCAGCGGAGACGCAACAGAAAATTTCACTTTTGTTAGTTCCACCCGCGACGCGCGATTGAGAAGGCTTTTGTTTTGACAATAGTGCAAAGGAATCTGCAGACCTCGGGGCTATAACTGGAGGAACCAGAGAGCGGTTACCCGACCACCTGGCCCCTCAGTCAGTAACCATCAAGCACTCGGGCTTCTGTTTGCGCGAGAATAATGCACCAAAAAAAAAAAGCCACACAGGTTTACATTTAAGCACGGCACTCACGTTGGTAGCCTCTCGGACGAGCCTCTGCTCCGTGTAGAGGATGTGCTTGATGCATCGGACCAGCTCCAGCGGACAGCGGTCATACGTGCTCTGAAAGACAAGGAGCACATGTGCCGCGTTAAGGCCCATTAGCCCCTGACGAGCGGAGCGTCCGCCACACACAGGACTCGCCAATTTAGAAAGCCTGCCAAGTTCTGAGGGCAACGCGGCAGACCCACTAAAACCCATTAGAAGAGACTAATGAGACTCTGAAGCACCGAGTACTTCATATGTGATTCATTAGCACTCACACACATCGTCACCCACCCTCTGCTGGTACATGTGTTCATGTGTTCAATCATCTATTCTTCTTCTTCTCTTTTTTCCCCCCTCTGATCAACTGGATTAAAAGTTGAGTTGCATGAATCGTGAAATCAAGCCGAGGACACACGCCACACCAAGACGAAGTAAACAGCACAGAACACCGACAGGGGGGCGGGTCTCCCGTGTTATTTCCAGACAGGACACATTTGGTACATCGCCGTGGCTGAATGGGTAAAAACAGTTAAGCGGCGGTTTGGGACTGCGGTTTAAATCTGCACAGCCAGTTGCCTTTACCCCGTTTCTCAGCCTGGTTTCAGGGAAGGGAGAAGACAAACAAGGGGACGGATCTGGGAACGCGATCATAAATAGCAGCTCTGGCTGGCTGCCAGGGAACTCACTTGGGTCGTCCTCTGGTTTTCCTCACGGTAGCAATAATCTGTTCTAAAAACATGTTGCCCACTGTCCGCAGGGAATAACAGTTACATCTCCCAACCACTTGCTGCACCTCTTCTCCGCTTGCTTAAAGGTGGAGTCAAAGTGTTGATTGTGTGAACAGTGGCCCCATTATGCCTTTCAGCTGTGGACAAAATAACCAGCTCTAAGACAAAGAAAATCAAGGTCTCTCTTGTCGATAAATCCAACAAACAGCTGAAAACCTACAGTCGATGTATACATACATGCTCTGGAATCTATTTACTGCTGTGCACCCTGAGTCCAATACTCTCAGTACTACAGCCGAGGAAACCGGCAATGTGCTGTGTGCGTTGTGTTATTTGTGAGGCACACAACCATACTTCCCACAGACTTACCTTCAGCTGGGTGGCGTAGTGTCCCAGTTTGATTTTTAGCAGGAAGCCGTCCTCTCCCACCTGGTGCTCGGCCTTGTTCTGCAGCTCCTGGATCAGACTGTCCAGCAGCCGTTTGGCCTTGAACTCCTCCTGCGGGTTCTCCAAGTCTATGGCATCCCTGATAGCACGCACGTACACAAAGCACACAGACACACACAATTGAGATAATTGGAAACGTGCATGAACAAACGCACGTGGGTGATAGACTACCATTAAGATGTTAAATATATCAAACAAAGAGCAGCTGTCCAAATGCCAGTTCATGTTCGAACATACATGTGAACATAACTTATCAGAACTAGACACACACACACACACACACACACACACACACACACACACACACACACACACACACACACACACACACACACACTTGTTTGTTCTGCAGAACAACTCACCAGAGCTGGCCCTCTATCCATTGGGACAGATAATGTCGCACCTCAATGGGGAAATGCTGACCGTACAGCGACTGCATCTGGTGCAGAGCATCTCCCTGGAGCTGCTGGGCCTGGATCCACACTGCCATCTTCAACGCCCTAGAGTTAAGAAAAATCTTTTAAAAAGGGGTCGTCGTCAACGAAGAAAACAAATCAAGCAAAAGTATTAAGCAAGAGTCATTTGCAGAATGAGTGTGTGAGCTGGCCTTCGTCGTGAACGTCAAGTTTCGCTTGATTGAAAAAAACAAACCTACATCGGACAGATGCCTCTGGTTTTCCTCTAAAGGTGGACTGGTTAAGCCAGTTATTTCTGCGAACATGTTTGGAGCTGAAACAGTCTCCTCCGGGGAGCTAACAGCGCCATTGTCAACCATGTCTGCAGAGTTGGGTCACTGCTGCTTGTTTCCAGTCAACACTCCCACTCAGCCTTCTCAAAAAGTGGCACAGTCACTGTCAGTAAAAGATGAGTGATATGAGTACGCTGGAAGTTTGTGGTGCACGTATGCGTGCGTGTATTTGTAGGAGCTTGCGGTGTCAGTGGTTCTTCTTGACAGTCTGTGCCAGTGCATATTGAATCGAAACAAAAGAGACCTCCGCGTATTCTCTTCACGTGTGCTTCCCTTATCACAACTTTAGTTTCCAATATCCGCAGTGCATTCTCCATGCTGTTTCTGCTAAACTTTGAGAAAGAAGAAGAGACAAAAAAAGAAAAGAAAAAAGAAAGACTGTTTAAAAATGTAGGAGGATCCCATGACGTGCACAAATAACTTTTAGTCAGCCAATGATAATAAATAAATCAATCACTTTTTTTATCCCAGCTCCAATCGCCGCTCGTACCGGTGCTCAGGTGAGGGCTTGTTCGTGTCTCCAGGCGGGCCGAGATCAGAAAGATAACTCCACTCCTTACGGTATTTGCCCCTGCAGACACTAATCCTGTAAGCCTGTGACAATGCTGACGCTCTTATATCTCAGTGAGAGCCTCCTGACCTTTGATCCTTCCGGCTCATCCTTATCCCACCCCCGGAGAGACTTCGGGAAGAAGACGCATTCATGCTTCTGACCACCGACACCTCAAGCTCGGATCCATAGAATCCGCAGACGGATAATGTATGGTTAGCATGTTTGTGGAGAGAAGATGCTCACTATTCGCTTTTTAAATCTTGATGATGTTCACATTGCACCTGACCTGATTGTTGAAGCAAGCGATGTGCATAGATTTGTATTTATCTTGCTGGTGAGGTTCAACATATTGTTACATTTTAAAAAGCAAGTAAAAGGCCTTGAGTCCAATGAGTGACATGTTTTATCTTCGAGGGCATCAGCCCCCGTACCGTCAGCTGATTGGGTGAAGGAACCGAACAGGAAGAGCGTTAAACCCTTTTCTGCCACCTCTTTCTGTGACATCCACCCTGCGCTACCCAAACAGCACGGCATGCTGGGAGCTCAAGCTTTCAAACGTGTGTCTGCTGTGCTGCGAAAAAATAAACTAAAATGTCAGCGCCACGAACCGGTTGTTTACGAGTCCGTCTGTCCCTTTAACGGCCTCCTTAAGGCAGAGGGCAGAGGGCTGCGGGCGCCGTGCGCCTGCGTTCTCACCGGCGACTGGGGAAGGAGATGCTTCCCAGCAGGCGTTTCACTCAGACTGCATCCAAACTGCCCCGGCACGAGCCCCAGATATGCTGCGGGCACCGAGACGGCTCCCTTTTCGCTGTCCTCTCTTTACAAGAAACATGGCTTATTTCTTCCCCCCCCCATCTTCATTGCTAACTTCACTGCTGACTTTACAACCGAAGGAAATGCGCCTTACCTCTCGCCTTCAGCTCCGTGTTATCATGTAACAGCAGGAAATTCGAACAAGGAGCACCGCAAACCTTAAACAGACAGACAGACAGAGGGAGAGAAACAGAGAGAGAGAGAGAAAGCAAAAGGAGGAAGTGAGTCAAGCTTCGGTGCTTCTGAGGAAGCTGTGTTTTTTCACAAGGACCTGAGCATTAACGAAAAAAGCGGTGAGGAGAGAGGACGAGAGTGCGGCGATTTGTCTTCACTGCAGTAGCTTTGGACACGTCGTTCCCGAAGCTTAAAAGGGAACAGAGTCTCTCTTAGTGATGTTATGTTCTCAGTGATGCTCCGATTACAACTAAAACAGCCGGCGAGATGTTAGAGAGGCCGAGAAAGCATTTTGAAGAGGGAACGCATGAGTGATATTCCCACTGTCTTACCATTATTTAAAAAATTAAAAAAAGGTTATATAATTTTTTTTATTTGCTAGGCTGATGAAGACAGCAGAAATAAAACAGGTTGACTGGTTCAATTTTAACTCAGCCGCTGTCCTTTTTTTGCTCTCAGAAAGAAATAGTGGGCTTAGTCCGATCAAGAGGCCTTAAAAGTCTCCTGGCAGCAGCTTTAGGCTTTGAACCGCAGACGGGCCGCGGCCCCGTCACCGGGTAGCACGCGGGGCCACAGCCTCTGAAGTAGGGCTTATCGGGATCCAGAACACTCTCATTGTCTGCTGGACCGGAGACGGAGAACAGCAGGAGGCCACATGCCGGCTCGGGGTCTGCAGACTAATATGTAACTTATCTCTTTTTCCACATCTGGACCCATCGCTCCTCGGCCCACGTAGATTCCCTTCCAGTTGAGAACGATGTGAATGGTAATTGCCTGACCTATGACCTCTTCAGCAAGGTCCGCATGCCCTGCTCACCCGAGCCCCGCCGCCCCCTCGGCCTCCCGCTGAATGTCCTCCCTTCATCGGCGATCGATAAGTCATGTGTCTCGATGCAAAACACCCTGTGGTCCGTTTTCAGGCCGAAGTTTGTGGCGTTACATGTCGATCACAACACGGCACACGGTGTTTCTGTCATTTTCCACTTCTGTATTTATAAACACACAGACTGCACTCATCCTCGCACATATTTGAAATGTACTTTGGCTCGCCCTTTAAAAAAAAAGATTGCTGGTTCCTCTTTCATCTTTTCTTTGGCGTTCTTTTCCAACAGACAGAGAGACCGTGGCAACATCGCCAAAGTCCTTTTACAACCCACGCAAGCTTTATGTCGTACATTCTGAATTTACTGCTAGCAGAGTTACTTCTACTCGTCCCTCCATCAATTGTTGCGTAGTATCCGTCTCCGAGGGTTCATGGTCTCAAATTATAAATCATCGCATCAAAAGGAATTTGTAAATCATTGGTCAGAGCTTTATTAGGTGTGATATTATGATTCCACTCACTCTCTCGCCCCCTAACATTGGCACGGAGGCGAGGAACGACTACTGCAGTTTTCTTTTTCACCCACGGTGCAGAAATGGTGGCATATTTATGAGTTGGGAATGGCTGGATGAGAAATCGGGAGGATGGGTTCCAGCGAGCGTTACACAACTGCTTAAAACAAACAAATCAAAATGTCTCCACCAACGGTTGTACAGGCTTCTCCATAAAGCAAGAGAGAACCTTTCTGATTACTTCTCTCACGTAAAAACCTTAAATAATAAGACGGGCTTAAGGGAAGGTTAATGCCATTTTGGTGCCACAAAAGCTCCCACCGATCCATAAGCTCAATGCTTTATGATTAATAACAATAATCCAGGACTTGTCTTATCAGTCAACAAAATCAACATGCAGCCTTTAATGCAGCTTACTTATGACATTTTGTGCTGGTCACAAATTCTGTTCTGACGATTGTTTTAAACGACTTAAGAGGCTCGGCGAGGACACAACAAGTCAATTTATTGTCCTTTACAAGGTTTAAATCAAGATTGGAAATTGTGATAAACAATAACACCCTGGACCAGGTTTGACTGACTGAGAAACAGACTTTTGTCATCAGTGCCTGCAGCGAATGCAATAGAATTTTTTTCTTTTTTTAAACATTAAATTCCACCAGCTTTTCTATGACTCAATCAATGGGAAATAAAAAAAAAAGTCCCTCTCGCGCTTCATGAGGAGGAGTTCACACAGTGAATCTGCTTTTTCAGCCAAAGCACTGAATGGTTTGTTCTGCCAAAGAGCATTTGGGACATTGTGAGCCGCAAAACAGAGCGAGAGCAAACAATCTAAGTTGCAGATGTCCTGCTCCTCCTCCTCCTCCACCTCATGAGACCAGATCCTCTTCTCCACTGGATCACCTTCCTCAGGTACGGGTCTCTGCAGGTTCCGCGTGTGCGTCCAGATGGCCGGAACATGAACTAAGCGCAGTGCAACACAAAGTTGTGTCACCCACTCCTTCCTCTGAGGAAAAACTGTGCCATGCATCAACGTAAGCGCTTCCTGTTAGGAAACTCAAGTTCCACCCACAATGCAGAGCGACCTCAGCGCCAGAGTTTATGCAACACAATATATATATATATATATTTCAAGGTGATCTCTTTCAAGCCTGTCAAATAATCCCCCCAGAGGACCTGAAATAGACAATCACAGTATTTTGTTATTTTGATGCGACGCACAAGTCGGTCCACGCTGATGTATTCCTGCCGTGCCGACATGAAGTGAAACCAACAATGGGCACTTGGGAGACGCAGTAAAGATTATTCTGTAGTTCTGTAATGCGTCATTGGTGTGTTTTATTGGGGCGCTGTGACTTATTGGAGAGAGTCTGTTTTAGTCTGAACCCGTTGCTGTTGACAGCCAAACGACACAAAACACCTCAAAGCAAACAGCAAGAAAAACAGCATTCAGAGGGGGGGGGGGGTAGTCCAATAAGGCATGAGTTTGGCATTACATAATAATCCAGTTTACTCAGGTTTCAAGCAAAGGTTCACCGCCCTCCTGAGTTTACTGTCCCCTTCCACATCGCTCCATTCACCATTTCCCCCAAATTGGTCTTTTTTTGTTTCTCCACGAATGGCACGGCAGATACCGAAGACAAGCCGTTTGTTGATGGACAGATGGTTCTGTGTCACTACGGGCAACCTGGCAGGAGGTGATTTGGTGACATGATGCCGTGTCAACTGACTCATTCAACATGTCGGATGAGATGGATCGATGGACGTGTGCAGGCGGTCCGTTCCCTCGTTGGCTTCAGAGTTTATCACCTGACATGCTCAAATTCCAATTCGATTTAAAAGGAAACTATCAATAGTTACACAGTAATGTCACTTCA